TGGCTGGAAAAACGGCCCAGAAAATGGCCTGAAAAATGGCCTAGAAAGTGGCCCGAAAACAGCCAGAAAAATTGAATGAAAATGGCTGGAAAAGGGCCTGAAAAACGGCCTGAATACGGCCTTAAAATGGCCTGGAAAATGGCCCGAAAACAGCCGAAAAATGGCTTGAAAATGGGCTGAAAAGCAGCCTGAATATGCCCTCTAAAGGGCCTGAAAAAAGGCCTGAAAATGCCCCCCCACCCATTGGCCAAAATACATGCATGTGCCCACCAGCTGGTCTTCAGGTTTCTGGTGCTCAGACGCGCACACATGCATACGCATGCCTGCATGTTCTGGTTTGGTTACTCGGTGCCGAAAAGGTTCGCCATCGCCGATCTGTTTGTTTCTTCAACCTTGTAGGTTGTCTTGGATGGATCTCTACTGATCAACACCTCCTTGCTGATGCATTGATGTTCTTCTGATCCACCATGGAGGCAGAGGTGGTCAACTTAGTTTTCCTCTTTTGGCTTGCCAAGTTTCCCCACTGGTGAGGAGAGGAAGGACAAGATTTATGGAAGAAGAAGAAGGAGAAGGAGAAGAAGAGGGGAGGAGGAAGAATTGGAGGAGGAGCAGGAGGAGGTGGAGGACAGCCCATCCTCTGAGTTGGCTTGGAGGCATCTGGGTGTAACTCACAAAGTGGAGAAGAGCCGGTTCAGAAGCGATTCATTTCTTCTCAATCCATCTTCATCCTCGAAAGGCGACCTTCTTCTTCTCTCCTTCCCCTTCTCAATCCCATCAGCAGGATGGACCAGAACGGATCTTCTCAGAACCAGCCCGGCCAACTGGTGATCTACAAAGCTCAAGTGACTACGGGGCAAGGCCTTTTAACCGGGACTTTCGATTTGATCTCCATCGCCTTGGTGGGCACCAACGGAGAAAGCCCCAAGAAATATCTGAACCAGTTTGGGATGACCTGCTGTCAAGGATCGGTAAGATTTGGGTCCGAGTCTCAAGAGATGGAAGTTGGGAGGTGATACTTTACTTCTTGGAATAGATTTTGGTCCAGAGAGACAACAGAATAACAGAGTTGGGAGGCACCTTGGAGGTCTTCTATTCCAACCCCTAGTCAACCTCCTATACCAAGGGTCTTCAAACTTGGCAAGTTTAAGACTTGTGGACTCCAACTCCCAGAATTCCTGAGCCAACATGACTGGAGGAGGAATTCTGGGAGTTGAAGTCCACAAGTCGTAAAGTGTCAAGTTTGAAGACCCCCCTGCCCTATACTATCTCAGAATAAAGCAGAATAGAATAGAGTTGGAAGGGACCTTGGAGGTCTTCTAGTCCAGCCCTCCGCTCAAGCAAGAGAACCTATGCCATCTCAGACACATTTCAGACAAATGGTTGGCCAATCTTGTCTTCAAAATCTCCAGGGCACCCACAACTTCTGGTGGCAAGCTGTTCCACTGGTTAATTGTCCTCACTGTTAGGAAGTTTCTCCTGAATTCCAGGCTGCTCCTCTCCTTGATTAGTTTCCATCCGTTGCTTCTTGTCCTTCCTTCAGGTGTTTTGGAGAATAGCCCCTCAAATACTGGAATATTGATATCAGGTCATCCCCGTTCCTTCTTTCCATCATGCTAGAGAAGACAAGGATATTGTAGGTCTGGTGTCACCACTTCTCCCAGTCCTCTTCTTTGCCAAACTGGCTGAGATGATCTTAGACGTAGAACTTTATTGTCACTCTGAATGTCACAAATTATACGACACGGAGAAACAACACAGTTCAGTTTGGATGTATAATGGTGGACTTGGAGGAACCAAGGATTGAGTAGACTTCAACTGACTTGGGACCAGGGGAGACATGATAGCAGTCTTCCAATATTTGAGGGGCTGCCCCAGCGAGGAGGAAAAGAGTCAAGCTATTTTCTAAAGCACCTTTGAAGGCCAGACAAGGAATAATGGATGGAAACTTAACAAGGAGAGATTCAACCTGGAAATAAGGAGAAACTTTCCGACAGTGAGAACCATCAACCAACGGAACAGAAGTTGCCCTCGGAAGTTGTGTGAGCGCCATCACTTGAGACCTTCAAGAAGAGATTGGACTGCCATTTGTCAGAAATGGTGTAGGGTCTCCCACTTGGGGGGGGGTTGGACTAGATGACCTACAAGGTCCCTTCCAACTCTGATTATCTGTCATCTGTTATCTTGGAGCTTTCTGAAGCTCTCTCTACTTGGGTTGACCCATCTATGGATCTGGGAGGGTTTGTGGTTGGACCAATAGAACAACCTCTGGATTTGTGGGTGGGGGGGCGCTTTCTGTCACACTCCACTTCAGATATTGACAGATCCATTTCTCAAACATCTGAACTGCTGGGGACTGAATCCAGATAGAGATTGAATCCAAACTTATTGTCTTTTTTTTTTCTATTGTGAGCACACTGGCACACATTAAAAATGAAATTCTGTTGCCGGCTCTCAAAAGAAAGTATATATCTACCTGTACACATACACAACACACATATACACATGCTATATACATACATACATACATACATACATACATACCATCCATACCTCCATACTCCATATCACCATACCTCCATACCTCTATACATACATGCCTCCATACCTCCACACTCCATACCTCCATACTTTCATACTCCATACCTCTACATTCCATACCTCTATACCACCATACTCCATACCTTTATAGATACATACCTCCATATCACCATACCTTCACACTCCATACCTCCATATTTTCATACTCCATACCTCCATATTCCA